CAGGGCTGGAAGTCAAAGAGTTTTTCAAACAGTGGCACAACTGCAGGGTCTGAAGCCCTGAATAAAACGTAAGCCTGTGAGATAAATCTTTAAACACGAGCATGTCTCCGGGGTGGGTTTGCTGACAGGCCGCGGTCCCGCTCCAGCCGCTGCTCCACTCCGGGTTTTGCCGGCGCCCCTCACGCCCCTGCGCGCGCTGGTTGCAGTGCAGCCGCGCGCGGGACGCAGATCCCTCCGCGCTGCCGCGCCCCGCCTCAGCTCACACAGGAGAGCAGCGGCGCGCGGGGCCGAGAAAATAGTGCGCGGCGGAGTGATCTGGAGGCCGGGGGCGGGGCGCGCGAGACCATATAAGGGGCGGGAGGGGGATGTGTGGCGCAGTTGGAGCTAGGTGAGGTGGTGAGGGGTTTGTCGTGTCGACGTAGCCTGCCAGGCCTGCGGTGAGTGCTCGGACGAGGGAGCCGCTTGGCGTGGCGGCGACAGGGCTTAGATGCGTGCGGGGTGTCCGGGCGGGACACACGGAGTGTGTGTGTGCGCTGAGAGAGAAAGGGCGATGGCTGGGAAAATGGCGGGGTGAGGGCCGGGGCGTTGCCCTCCCCTTAACGGCAGCACTGCGAGCCGGGGGCGGGGAGGGGAAGGGCGGGAGGGGCGAGGGTGAGCGGCCACCGGCAAAAAATGGCGGCGGCGCATGCGCAGCCCCCCCCAAGATGGTGGCGTGCGCGCGCCGCGGGCGGGAAAGGGAAGGGGCGGAGACCACCCTCACATCCCGGAAAGGGCAGAGCCGTCGGCTGTGACGTCACGGCCGGGGAGCGCGGCCCCGGGGAGCGGGAGCGTCACTAAAGCACAGCGGATTTGCCTCTTCCAGGTTAAAATGCAGATATTCGTCAAGACCCTGACCGGCAAGACCATCACCCTTGAGGTGGAGCCCAGCGACACCATTGAAAATGTCAAGGCCAAGATCCAGGACAAGGAAGGCATTCCCCCAGATCAGCAGAGGCTGATCTTTGCTGGGAAGCAGCTGGAGGATGGTCGCACTCTGTCTGACTACAACATCCAGAAGGAATCCACTCTGCACTTAGTGCTGCGCCTCAGAGGTGGGATGCAGATCTTCGTCAAGACCCTGACTGGCAAGACCATCACCCTGGAAGTTGAGCCCAGTGACACCATTGAGAACGTCAAGGCCAAGATCCAAGACAAGGAAGGCATTCCACCCGATCAGCAGAGGCTGATCTTTGCTGGGAAGCAGCTGGAGGATGGTCGTACCCTGTCTGACTACAACATCCAGAAGGAATCCACTCTGCACCTTGTCCTGCGCCTGAGGGGTGGGATGCAGATCTTCGTCAAGACCCTGACCGGCAAGACCATCACCCTTGAGGTGGAGCCCAGCGACACCATTGAAAATGTCAAGGCCAAGATCCAAGACAAGGAGGGCATTCCCCCAGATCAGCAGAGGCTGATCTTTGCTGGGAAGCAGCTGGAAGACGGTCGCACATTGTCCGACTACAACATCCAGAAGGAATCCACCCTGCATCTTGTTCTGCGCCTGAGGGGTGGGATGCAGATCTTCGTCAAGACCCTGACCGGCAAGACCATCACCCTGGAAGTGGAGCCCAGCGACACCATTGAAAATGTCAAAGCCAAGATCCAGGACAAGGAGGGCATTCCTCCTGACCAGCAGAGGCTGATCTTTGCTGGGAAGCAGCTGGAGGATGGTCGTACCCTGTCCGACTACAACATCCAGAAAGAATCCACCCTGCACCTTGTCCTGCGCCTGAGGGGTGGTAACTGAACCAGCAGGTTGTTGCATCCAAATAAAAAGTTTCTCTGCACTTGTTCATTCCAATAAAGCTGTTGCATCCACAAAAGTTTGTGTCTCAAGTTACGTGAACAACTGTTTGTGCCGTTTCCCAACTCCGGCTCTCTAATAAACAATAATTACGTAGTTTCTGCAGACAGAGGAACTGTAAAACCGCCTTAAGCAGGGCTCCCACGTGTCTGGCAAGCATAGCTAATCCCTCAGCCATGGTTTTCCTGGGTTGTATAAGTGTTCCCTGCCCGGCTGCAGCTCGGTGCCCACCTGCGGATGTTGCGCAGCTGTGGGTGTTGTGTAAGCCTGGACATGTAATAGGAAACTACAGTTGTTGCTGAGCTGGGAGGATTTAAAACCCAGCTCTTTTGTTTCCTAGCAACTGCCAGGTTCTGCCCTTGTTTTGGAGCAAGCAGAAGGGTATTCCTGCAGCTCTGACACAGGGTGGGACAGTGGGATGTCAGTGCTGGTCCTGCAGCCCTTGGGCTTGGGAAGTGGTGTGGCAGCCTAAGTACATTAAGCAAACTAATTAAACTAATTTCATATATACTTAATTGGAAATCTGGAATGAGCTTAATTCCAGCAGTGCCCCAACTGGAAATATTACAGTATTGTGCTAAAATACCACAGCAGTTCCCATGTGCTGTAAAGTCCTGGATGAAGGGAAGTTTCCACTGAAGGGTTTGTGGTGGAGGTTGCAATTAGGAGCTGCCAAGTAGTTAACTGCTGCTGTGCTGGCCATGGGATGTGGGGAAGGGAGAGGCAGAGGGAAAAAAGTGCCCTTCAAAAGAGTGGTTGCCTTTGGAAGGGGATGGTGGTGGGAGATGAGTAGTGATCTGAGCTGGTCACTGACTTCAGGGCGACCTGTAGGGATCTTAACAGTGATAGTGGGATTGAACTCAAGTAACACTGAGTGTAACTTAAGGAAGCAGTGGAAGATTCTTTTAGGGCTGTGTGGCCTGTAAGGAGCAGGTTTGGATCAGCGAGATCTGTGCTGATCTGGCGGAAGCGTCTGAGCACTGCTGAGCTAATCCCATGTGGGTGAGGGCTGGTGCTGTTCCATCGCTGAGCGCCTGTCCTCTTCCTGTGAGGGTGGCACTGGGCTCTGCCCACGCCTGTCCTCGTTCCAGTAACTGAACACAACACAGCTGCAACCAACAGTTTGCCATCCTGTGGGATTTCTGGCCTCCTGGGGCATCCAAATTCATGCAACAGTTACAAACTGAGCAGCCCTTCAGTGGGGCTCTGGCTCCTGAAACACAGGGGTCTGGTCAGCTAAAGGGTGGGTGTTGCTGGAATGCAGGGAGCTGCTCTTACAGAACAAGGAAGAAGTGCAGCTTGGTGTGTTTTCATAATGCCTTTCTCTACATGCTTGGTCAGATTAGCCATGGAAGTCTGGTGATTAAAAAAAACAAAGGATGGAAAAAATAACTGCAAGCGGTTCTGATGTGAAGGCAGCCTGACTGCTGTGGGGGGACAGCCACAAGAGGACACATCAAAAGCCCACACAAATGACTGCAGACCTGTGTTTTAAGAAACTTCTATTTCAAAAGTCTGTGAAAAAAACCTCTACAATGCCACATTTGAAAATGACAATGCAGTACAAACCCCTGACAGCCTGGAGTGTGCTGCAGCCAGGCAGAGCAGGAAGCTTGGAGAGGAAACCCGTGCAGTATTCTCCTGAGCTGAGTCAGCCACTGCCTCTTGCAAAGGGAATGCCATAGAGCTGTGTCAGGGGGGGTTAGATTGGATATTAGGGAAAGTTTCTTCCTCCAGGGGTTGGTTGGGCACTTAACAGGCTCCCCAGGGCAGTGGTCAGGGCCCCAAGGCTGCCACAATTCAAGAAGCGTTTGGACAGTGCTCTGAGACACATGGTGGGATTTTGGAGCTGTCCTATGCGGGGCCAGGAGCTGGACTTGATCCTTGTGGGTCCCTTCCAGCTCAGGACATTCCACGATTCTGTGACCTCTGCAGGTCACTTTGCTTGGTTTGAGGAACTTCAAGGTTCGCAGTGGCAGTGCCAGCACTTCAGAGGCGGCGCCCCTGCTCAGAGAGCACATCTGGGGTGGGATTAACCACAGAACAGCTAAATTTGATGAGAACAGCAAAGCACTTAATGAACGTTAAGGATGTCTTTTGTTCTAACCGTGGTACTCCCAAAAACAGTCTATGGGAACATGCTGTTCCGAGAGACCTTCTCACGTTCACATTGTTCCTCAGTGCCTTGAGGCATCTCCTGGATTTTACTGGGGTTTATTGGGATTTGGAGAAAAATTCCTTTCGCAGAATTTCTTTGTAGCAAAATGTTTTAAAGTAAAAGAAAACACAGCTGGTCTGAAGGGATTGCTGCTGGGGAGAAGGGGCACAGCCTGTTGCTGCCCCACCTGCAGATACCAAACAGGATCAGAGGCATCGGTTAATTGATCTGGCAATTAATCAGAGGCAACTAACTATCAGGGTGAAAGGTAAAAACAAAAAAGACACAATTAAGGGTAAAGATATAAATGCAGGCACCGAGGTGAAGGCCATGGCAAAGTCGGGTGCTGTGCTGTGCTGGCCTCTGCCTGGTGGGAGCTGTGGGATGTATGAAGGACAGTGTGTGGCAGGTGGGTGCACTCCAGTTTCCAGTCCCTATAGCCCAGGAACACCTGGGACAATGGGCTTGTCTTAAAACAGGCTGTCACAAACTGGACTCTTAGTTTTTTAGTCTCTGCTGGCTTCTAGACACTTTTAGGGATGAGTTTCAACTTGTCTTTTATTCAGAAACACTTTAAATGTACAAGATAGAGGAAAAAACCCAATTCCTTGGGAAAATAGAGTGGGTTAAGAAGTGATGGATGTTTTCAGGGAGAGCCTGGGGCTGGGAATGAGGTGATCTTCAAGGTCCCTTCCAACCCAAACCATTGTACGATCCTATGATTGAACGATATTTTATCCATGTATATATTGCACATCCCTATTTATTTTACCCATTTTCCTACTTTTCCGTGCTCCCACGCGTGTTCCACGATCGCACCACCCCGGGGTTCTGTCCCAGTCCCGCTGCCGGAGCGAGGGGGCGTGGCCTGGCGCGGCTGGCACCGCCCCTTCCCCGCCATTCCCCGCCCCCTCCCGGCTGGCCCCGCCCCCTCCGCCGGGCCGGGCCGGGCCGGGCCGCGGGGCCATAAAGGGGCCGTGGCGAGCGGGACCCGCTCCCGGCTCCGCTCCCGCCTCCCCCGCGCCATGGCTGTGGCCCGGCGCAGGCTGTCGGTGGGGCTGGGGCTGGCCGCGGCGGCCTGCGCCCTCGTGGGGGGCTGCCTGCTGCTCGTGGGGCCCCTCATCATCAGGGAGCAGGTCATCAAGGTTAGCAGGGCCGGGGGGCGCGGGGAGGCGGGGCGGGATGCGGGGGGTGCGGAGCGGGCTGTGTGTGTGCCGGGGCCGGTGCGTGGGCAGGGCATCGGCGTGGGGCTGGTCCGCATCCGGTGAGCGGTGCGGGATGCAGGGTCGGTGGCGGTGCGGAGCGGGGTGTGCTGGAACCGGTGCGGGGGGCTCGGTGGCGGTGCGGGGTGATGCGGTGGCGGTGCGGAGCAGGGTGTGTTGGAGCCGGTGCGGGATGCAGGTGTGATGCTTTCGCAAGTGCAAACAGGATAAATGATGTGCAGTAGCACTCGGAAGGAGCCTTGAGCAGCTCCGGTGGCGGTGCGGAGCGGGGTGTACCGGTGCGGGATGCAGGGTCGGTGGCGGTGCGGAGAGCGGTGTGTTGGAGCCGGTGAGGTCCCGGCAGCCGAGCAATGGAGGTGACAGTGTCGCTGCTGCAGCTCCGAGCAGCCTCAGGATCTTACTCTAAGTAAATCCGTGCTTGGGATATTCCACCCCTGGGGTATTTCACCCCTGGCGACAGCAAACGTGCCCGGAATGAGCAGGTTCCCACCCCTGATTAACAAGGGCTCTTTGCATCCCTGGAACTGGCTGGGCACCCAGTGCTGGGCTGAGCATCGCCCTGGGCACCAGCCCTTCCTCCCATCCTTCCTGTCCGTACCTGCAGCACCAGTTGTTCCTTTCATAAGTAGATGAGCAGACTATCAGCCTCAGTGTACTCTGGTGTGATGCTTTCACAAGTGGAAACAGGATAAATGATGTACAGTGGCACTCGGAAGGAGCCTTGAGCAGCTTCTTAGCAGCCTCCAAGTGTTCTCCCCTAGACTAAAGCCTTAAAGAGTTGCTTTTCAAAAGACCTGTCTTATCCCCTGAGAGAGGTCCTGGGGCTGAAGAGGGTTTGTCCCCCACAGTGTGGGTCTGTGGATGGAGTTGTTGGTCCGTTCAGTAACTGCTGCATTTCTTGTGAACCAACACTCCTGTCCCTGCTGCCAGGATCCCAGTTATCCTGCTGCAATGTGGAGCTCAATTAGCCAAACCGTTTCCTCCCTGTCCAGAGCAGATGTGCTCCTTGCCTGGGCCTTTCTCCAAGCTTCCACCCACCCAGGTCAGCTCCTGAAAATGGGCTTCTGACGAAAGAGGTGAACAAACACTTCATAGCCAATGTCTGTCATTGCATGTGATGCAAAGTCTCAGCCGAAAATGACCTACTTAAACGTATCCCCTGGAATTGCTGCTCTCTGGGCAGAGACAGACAGTCCTGTGGATTAAACAGTAGAAAAATCTTTGTTCAGTTTCGTGGATATCAGGAGCTGATACCTGCAAATAAAAGGCTCGATGGCCCCTGCAGAACAGAAATTACCTTTTTTCTTTTTTTTTTTCCCCAAACCTTTCTACCCTCTTTTTAGCTAATCCTGATTCTTTCAACCTAATTAGCTAAATCCTAGTAACTTGCAATGAGAACAGAAGATGAGGAAAAGACCAACCCTTGTTTCTCCTCCCTTCATCTAAAGTGCTGGTCTCCACATCTTCAACATGACCCAAAACAGCCCTGAGCTCTTACTTTTTCCACTTCACATTAAGCCTCATAACTGAGTGATGAGGGGTGAGAAATATCCAGGGGCTCACTGAAACTCTTGGGTTGGTCTTCAGAGTAGTCTGGGTGAGGGGAGCTTAAAGGGCTGGGCTTGGGCAGGTGAAGGCTGGTTTGCCCATCCTGGCTTCCTGAGCTCTGTTGGGATGGTGATTCCTGATGGAAAAGCGCTTGGTTACAAAGAGGTGGTAGTTTCAAGGATATCTTTGAGTAAAATCTATAGGAGAAGACACGGCAGAAACAGGGAACTTGGAGCCTGTCTCCTGCCTCAGCTGCAGAAACTGAATCTGCATTGGGCTGCCTGCAGTGTTGGCTGTGCAAACCCTGGGGATATTTCTTCTGTGGAAGCAGCTGGAATGCCACAGTCTTGCCTATAAGGTATGAGCTTGAACATAGCGAGGCTGCAGCAGCTCATCCCTCTGCCAGCTGTTGCTGCTGTGCCTGGGAGCTCTGGTGCTGTCCTGGCTGAAGGCTTTGAGTGGGCTGACAGCCCTGTCCTCGCTGTTCTAGCAGGGTGAGGACGAGGGTGGTGAGAGGAGGTGGAGGGTGAGGTCTGACCTCCGCCCAGTGTGATTGCTCCTCTCAGTCTGCAGGGGAAACCTCAACTCTCGGTTTTACTGATCAGGGTGGCTGGAGCCTCCCTCCTGGAGAAGCAGGATTGGGGCACTGCGGTGGAGCTGCTGCTCTTCTGGTCCCATCTGGAGCCAATCAGCAGTAACCAGTTCTTTCAATTCCTCAGGAACAAAGATCATCCTGGTCAGCAGGGGTCAAACATCTCAGTGACACTCTATAACCCATCTAAGTTGACAAATACTCTATTTTTATTTCAGGCATATGACCATGTTTGTTTTGACCTACAAGTAGCTTAATTCCAAGGCTACCCTGTCAGTGGATGTTACTTAGCAGCACCTATGGAGCACCTTGGGGTGCTGTGCCCAGATGGGAGGGGGCTGGGAAAGGCAGCCTTGAGCTGCGATGCTCAAGGGCTACTGGATGCTGGCTGGGTGCATATTACATAAATAAATGCATATGCAACAGGTGATTCAGGGAGTGCAAGACAGAACAAACAAGTAAAGGAAACCAGATGCTCCTGATCGTACTTGGCTGGACACTTGGGAATTGGGATTGTAAAGCAGAGTAAATAAAGATTTGTCCTATCACTGCTTCTTTGCCATTAAATCCTTCAGGTTAGCAGCGTGGAGGCCCTCGTCCAGCAGCATGTGGGCGTGGAAGTGGAGGTGGAAAGGGTTTGCTGGGTTAGGTGGAGTACACTGTACCATGGAGGTGTCTGCTTCAGGGTAGGGCTTAGATGAGGGGCTTGCGGAGCCCTGCTGCTTTGTGGGTAGCCCAGCCTTGCCATGAAATGACTAAAGAAAGATGGGGTGTTGTGGGGAGGCCTCTGGCAGCCTTCTGTTTCAATCCCCTGTGTCAGCAAATACGTGCCCAGTCAGATCAACTTGCTCCAGAGCAGGAGAGCTGTTGTGGGGCTGCTGAGCTGCACCGTGATAAGGCCCACATGCCTTCAGCAGTTGGTGGATCAACCCCGCTTCCATAAGCTGACTGACTTACCTAACCAGGGCAAGGATTTGTGCCTGCAGAAGAAGAGATTATGGTGGAACACACCCAAAGTACATGTTCAAGAAGGAACAGGCTGTTGCCCCTAATGCAGCCCCGCGGAGGCAAGGAGGGAGTGGAGGCAGGTGCATGCAGTTGCCAGCTCCTGAGCTGAGGAGGGCTTAAGTTGTCTGAGCTCCTGCAGGCATTTCTCAGCAGACAGGACAGTGATATGGAAACACAATTGTGTGTTGTCTTTGACCTGCTTCATGATCAACTCTGAGTCAATGCAGGATGGCAGCTGAGAGGAATCAGGTGTCCCATGCTGTTGGGACACAGCTGGGTTGCCATGCCAATTCTCCTTCTGCTGGGAGTCTAATGGGCTCTCCCTGCTGATACCCAAACAGTTGTGAGGATAGTTGTGTCACTTCTCCCAGCCCTTGCCTGCTCATGGCTGTCTGGAGCTGCCAAACCCACAAGCGAAGGCCTTTGGGACGGGATTGTTTTGCCAAGCAAGTAAAACATGCAGAGCTGTGAATAATTCAGTGCTGGTTTGTCTAGTGCAGAGCGAGTCTCCAGCACATCAAAAGAACTCTAAAGTCCTGTGGGTAGGATCTATAAAATGGAGCCTGAATAAATAAGCCAACAGGCATCCTGTGGCATAAACTTGATGTTTCTGCATATGTAAAAGTTCTCAGTTTAGATCAAGCTCAGTTTCAGTCTGTGTAACACACCTGGATCCTCTGGAGAGCCTCTGTTGGAACTGATGCTTTCAGCTGGGCCTTGCATGGAGCTGTGAGTGGATATGCTCATCTGTAGCCACAGACCCCACAAGCTGTCTCTCCTTACTCCTTCTTTCACTTTTTTATTTCTCCCTTTTTTTTTTTTTCTCCCCTTACAGAATGTCAGGATCGACCCCAGCAGCATCTCTTTCAACATGTGGAAAGTCATTCCCGTTCCTTTCTACTTGTCTGTGCACTTCTTCGAAGTGCTGAACCCCAAGCAGGTCCTCCAGGGAGCGAAGCCGGTGCTGACCCAGCGTGGACCCTACGTGTACAGGTCAGGGACCACTTGTGGTCCAGCTCAGCTTCAGCCTGGTCCCTGTGCTGCCTGCCAGGCTGCTGGCTGACTCCTGTGGCAGGAGGGCACGGCACTGCATACTGTGAGTCCAGTGGCACAGGGTTCTAAAGTGACCCAAATGTGCTCTGATCTTGCTGAAGCTGCCAGTAGTACCTCTGGGCACTGGGGTGGTAAAACTGATCTCTTCTTCACTATGTTGTGGATCTCAGCCAGACCTGGGCTGATAAGGTCCAAACATAGGCATGAGGGATGTTGGTGTGATGATAGGTGACCCTCATCTTCAGAGTGTACTCGTTTCCATCTTCACTGTGCATTTAAGAGTCCAGCTCTGGAGCTGGAGTCCCCTCAGTATCAAACTCCATGGGTCCTTATCTAACATGAGACTCAGAATCTGCTTAACATGAGCATTCTGGTCATGACAACCAGTGTGGACCACTAAAACTTGGTCAGACCCACCTGCTCCAGGACTGGGTCTGTTTGCCACGGCTGAGGATGGTGGCTGAAGCCCCCAGATGCTTCTCTGCACCTGAAACGTGAAATGATGGTTGATGCTGAGTTGAGAGTGTGAATTTACCCGTCTGTAGTCATATTTAACATGTTAGTGCCTACTCTAATGTGGCAATGTTAAGTCAGCAGGCTAAGCAAGCTCATGTGGAAAGATTACTGGTTAATCCAAAGCTGTTTGAGCAGTGTTGGGGGGAAACCTGGCAGTACGTATATGCCCTTGTTCCCTCTGGGCTTGCCAGGTCACACCATGTGGGTTCTGTATGTTGTGATCCCATCAGTCACTTGGCTTGGGGAAAAGGCTTCACTTATTGTAAATAAGAATAAACAAAGGGGCAAAGCTTATTAGTGTCCTTGTATTCCCGCTGAGCAAGATTAGTGCCCTTCCCTAAAGTGAGCTGTAAAATAGAGGCTCCACAGTAAAGGACTTTGTTTTTGCTGGTGGGTTGAGCTTCAGTTCCTTGAGGAGCTGTAACAGGCTCATGGTGTTGGGGACAACCTCATGCTATGGTGAAGCATGGCGGCCTTCATGAGACTGGATTGCACCGTGGCGTGGGGTGAAGTCCAAGAGCACTGGGGCAGCGTGCAGGAGTTGGATGGCCTGAATCCCTGAGGAGCAGGAGGGCCACAATGCTGTGCTGCCCTGAACCTGGGAGCCGTCAGGGAGCTTGGGAGCAAATCAGTGTGGGCTTGCTGGTGGGTCCTGTGGCATCTTGGCTGGTAGTCTCCTGTTTGCAGGTTGTTTTCAGTGTGTAGCTTGGTGTGGCTCTGCGTATCTGGGCACCTCTTTGAGGGGGCTGGGCTTTTCCATGGCTGTCAGCAAAGTGACAGGGGAGATTTACGCTTTTGTCTCAAACTTCTCATGGGCTGGGTGTTGAGTTGGGAAAGAACATTTTGTGCCTGCGTGAATCCAGCCTGTCAGGGTTGCCTTGCTCCTCGGCTGCCATCCCTCCTGCTAGACCCTAACCCTGATCAGGGTGCGAGGCTGACACCTCTTCTCTGGCACTCTGCCTCCCCAGCTGCCCTGTGGCTTCTCCCTGAGGTTCACTCTCCTCCACAGGCCCAGGCTGGTGCAGCCCATCCTTGCTTCGCAGGGGCTCTGCCTGGGGGAGGGTTCCCATGACTTCTTTCATCTCTTTGCAGGGAGTACAGGTATAAAACAAACATCACGTTCCATGACAATGACACTGTTTCCTTCCTGGAGTACCGTAACCTTTTCTTCCAGCCAGACATGTCCAACGGCACTGAAGAGGACTATGTCGTTGTGCCAAACATTTTGATGATGGTAAGTGCTTGCTCCCTGGATGGGTTCCAACTTCTGAGTTTGTGGGAAGGGTGGTGAAGCCTAATGCTAAATCAAAGTTTACTTTCTTGTAGTGCTTAAGGCTATTCAGGCAATGAGGTGTTAAGCTTATAAAATGCAATTTTATTCTTTCTGGGTGTTAGTTGTTGTGTTGGGCTGTTACTCTTCCAAAACCAGTGTGTGCATGTTCCAAAACCAGAGGGGCTGGCAAAGCAGCTGGGCTTGAGTGTGCAGCCTCCCCTGAGCATCCTGTGGGGAAATGAAGCCTGTGAACCCTCAACTGCTTTCTTCCCAAAGTGGGAATAAACGAAGAGCCTCAGTCTGTCTAGAGGATTTCTTTGGGGCTATAGGTGGGAGCAGCAGAAGGATCTTGCTGAGCACCAAAGATTACACTTGTCTGGTAAAGACGGGGCTCTCAATGCAGAGGTTTGTTTTCTTTTTCCAGGGAGCAGCTGTAATGATGGAAAAACTGCCGAGGTTTTTGAAGCTTTTACTGAGTGGAGCCCTGGCTGGCATGAAGCAGGAGGCGTTCATGAACCGGACAGTGGGGGAGATCATGTGGGGGTACGAAGACCCTCTTATAGACACGATAAACATGCTTGTTCCTGGTCTGATTCCTTTCAAGGGGAAGTTTGGCTTATTTATGCAGGTGAGTAAAGTGTTGGTTGGGAATGCTAAAATCACCGCAGTAGTGGTCTTGGGGATAGCTCAGGAACTTAAATAAGTAGAAGTTAATTAGCTGACAATTTGTGAAGCACCCCTAGAGCTGGTGAAGCACACAGTCAGTAACGTGTTGCAGTCTTGCTGTGTGTAGTGGATTAAAAGGTCTGCTTCTCTCTGCAGTTTAACAACTCCAATTCAGGGTTGTTCACAGTGAACACGGGCATGAAGAACATCAGTCAAGTTCACATGGTGGATTCATGGAATGGGCTAAAGAAGGTAAGTACCGGGCAGCAAACCTTTAATTCAGGGGCAGTGCCTGAGCTAAACCAAGATAAACTGAAAATTCTGGGTGCTCTTTTCTCTGTGTCATAGGTTTGAAGACAAGTTTCTACAGGACTTAAACTCCTGCAATTGCCTAGAACAGAAGTTGCCAGGAGGCAGCCATGTGGCAAGGGGCTTGTCAGGAAGCATTAAATTCAGTTTCTCATGTGTGTCATTTGGGCTCCCTTGAAACACTGTTGGAGCTGGTTGCCTCTAATGGTTGAAGTCTGGGGCTCCTGTGGCCCGTGTTAAAGGTGTTACTTTAAATACCCTTGTTAAAGGGATGCTTTATTCTTCCCTTGTGGAATATCACTCCTAACTAAAATCACCTGAATCTACACATCAGCCACTACGGGTGGTGGATCTTTTCTCCATTAACTGGGCAGATGTTTGACTCACTGAATCACTGAGGTTGGAAAAGACCTTTAAGATGGGAAGGATCTTTGACGTTCTTTGGTGTTGCGCTCTGAAGCTGCTGTGGAAGCGGTACAGGGTGGTGGATGTCCCGTGCAGGGGTGGAAGCCAACTCCAGCAAGCCCATCCTTCTGAGCTCCTCTCTCTCCACCTGTCCCACAGGTGAACTACTGGCGGAGCAGCGAGTGCAACATGATCAATGGGACGTCGGGGGAGATGTGGCCACCGTTCATGTCCCCGACCTCGCTGGAGTTCTACAGCCCTGATGCCTGCAGGTGAGGCCACAGCTGCCAGCCTGTCCCTTGTGCAGGTGTCAGGACACGCTGCACTCATCCTGTGCACACAGAGTACCTGTGCAGTGACGCAGAGGCCTCGGGACTCGTCTCTAAAGTTCAGCTGCGGTTCGGGGTTGCGGTATCTGAGCTTAGCAAACAGCGCAGTTGTCTGACTATCAGCATCTTGTGGTGTCTATAAATACCTTCCAGATCACCAGAGGAATTCAACTTGCCCACGTTGAATCAGTAGAAAATAACCAACCTAGATAAGATTTGGGCAGCGAGAGGGAGAAGTAGGGGTTGTCAGGAGGAAATGTAGCTGTAACTGTTTGCGGAACTTTTTTAGCTGACTAAAGTCTTGTAGAAATTATGTCAGAGGCGAACTTGTTCCACTATTTCCAGTCTCTCTAAGCTTGTTTTTTTGGTTGGTTTGTGGTTTTTTTCTGTTTTGTTTTGTTTTCTTTTTCCTGCCTGGGTGATGCACTGCTGTGCTTTTCTGTCGTGTATAAGACACCCTGACCTTAGCTGATCACACAGGGACTAAAGTACCCTGCAGAGCAACCCTGTGTGCATATACCTGAGGGAGGAAGGGAGGGCAAGCAGGCGCAAAAACCCTGTGCTCAGCTTGGGGAAGCTAATGTGAACTCAGGCTCTGTAGATAGCACTGCAAAACAAGCAAGTGCTCATGTTGAATAGGGAACAATGACCTCTTCAGTGAACAAACAAAGGCAGCCGAGCCAAGCAATAGCAAAGGAATTCCTCTGCACAAGGCAAGGGACATCAGCAAACACTGAAATGACCCGGAGCCAGGAACACAGAGGGAAGTTTACCTGTTACCAAAGTTTAAACACACATACCTGTTTCTGTAAAACTACAGAAGTCTCTAGAACAGAGCATACTTCCAGTGAAGTGCAGGACACCAAACTTGGTTTCCTGCTGGCACAGGAGGCTCCTGCCAGGCAGAGCTGTGGGTAAAGTGGCTCAGCCTCTTCACCAGGCAGTGGTGTGTCTTCTCCCCAAACTTCTGCCTCAGCCTCTGTGCTCACCCAGGGATGCAAACATCGGTTGATACACTAAAAGTGTATCTGCCTTGCTGCAGGACAGGCAGGGCTCATCTCCTGTGCTGTTTACACGTTAAGTGGAGCTGATGCTGAGGTGCAAATACCTGGTTATCCCTGCAAGGTAGGCAAGGTTTTACCCTGGTGATGTGCCACAGCAGCCTCTGCCTCCCTACTGGAAGGTGAGCAGAGCCAAGAGCCACAAGTGTAACTGCTCAGTGTGCCCTGAATCCTTGGTCCTGGTGTCAGAAGGTATCTGTAGGAATGAGCATCCCCTTGGCAGGCCCAGGCTGTCATGGGTCCCTTCTGTGACCCCTTACCCATTCTGTGATCCCTGCAAGCCTCACTCAAGTGTGAAGGGAGCAAACTTTTATCCTGGAAACTTGCATCGATCCTGGCCAGCTGGTAGCAATATTTCAGTGTAACATCAATAGCCTATTGTAGCAAGAAAAAAATCTTGCTGTGTCATGTGGTGAAATTTTCCACTCCCCTGACAATTGCTGGAGTTGGGCTTCAAAAGAGATTTATGCAGTGTCCATCCCCTGTAACGCAGCACCTCGGAGCCAAGGCTTGCACAAAGTGGGTATTATCTCTTGGAGAGCTGCCCTGGGGATTACTACATGCCTTTTAAACAAATCTCACCTGGATCCAGCAAACAGATTTATAAGCCTGTGGTTTCTCTCCCTAGCTAGTCCTGACCAGCCCTTTATCTATGCTTAAAACATGGAAAGCAAAACCCTTAAAAACTCATTCCCCATCCCAAGCGCTGCTCTGAGAGTTTATCTTGATCTCAAAGTCTAAGTTACATTGCAACTGCATCTTATCCAGCCAAGATAAGAACCCAGTTCTGTGCTAGGAACATGTTGGCTAATTCTGATCCTTCTCCACCGAAACCCAGATCCATGACACTGGTGTATGAGCAGTCCGGGAAGTTCAAGGGTGTTCCCACCTATCGCTTCGTGGCACCGAAAACCCTCTTTGCCAATGGCACGGACTACCCACCCAACGAGGGCTTCTGCCCCTGCATGCAGTCTGGCATCCAGAACGTCAGCACCTGTAGGCTCAGTAAGTCCTTTTCTCCCGCCTGCCGTACCGATATTAAATTTGAGACACAACGCAAGGTTGGCTGTCTGGAACGCCAGCTCTGGTGTCTGCTGGAGTGCTGAAAGGTGCTCTTGGGCTCTGCATGCACTCCACAGGCACCTCAGCAAGGAGGGAAAGAAGGAAACCCCTTGTGCCCAAAGTTCCTTGGGTCCCTGGCCCTATGACAGCTTGGCATTCATGGGAATGCCCGAGGATACGGTGGGAGCTGGGGAGGGAGCAGGCAGGGGAGTGAGGCAGAGGCCGCTCATGAAACTGCCAAATTAAATGTTGACTTTGGGCACTGAGTGTGGGTCACGCAGGAGGGAGAATCCAAACTTAGTGTTCTGATCTGTGTATGGGAGCAGCGAGTTATCACAGCATTGAGCTGTGCATGGCAGGACAGGGTGGCTGGTTTTAATCCTCCCAGAGCAACGGGATAACCCGTGGGGAGGGAAGGGAAGGAGCCTTCTGGTCGGTAGGAGGAAAGGATAAAAGCCTGTTCAGAACAGGTAGTGCAGAGGCTTAAAAACCTCAAAAAAGGTGGGTGTGGAGGATCTTAAGGTGCCTTTGATCTTACCTAGATGCACCAATGTTCATTTCCCACCCTCACTTCTACAACGCCGACCCGTCCCTGGTGAACGCCGTCGAGGGCCTGCACCCCAACAAGGACCAGCATGCGCTTTTCCTGGATGTGCACCCCGTAAGTGAACCCAAAGGGGTCCTCCCATCTCCCCAAGGGCCAGCCCAGGCTGGGGAGGGAGCCTGCCATCAGCTGAGTGGTGGCCCCAGTCTGCTGTCATGGCATTGATTTGAGCAGGTTCCATAGTGCAAAGACTGTCGAGGACGTGTGCAGATAAAAATGTCAAAGCCATAAACTAATTGAGTAATTAGCCTGGCTTCTGGGGAATTGCAGAACTAATTATAAGCGTAATTGTTTCGATAAGCGCAGTCAAGTTCTTTCCACTGACTCAGGTCTATGACACCAGGAGGTGTATCTGGCAGCAGCCCAGCTATGCCCCAAATCTGCAAACACGCATTGCCACGAGAACTGGCTGCCAAAGGCTGCAGACCATGCTGTGGCTCAACCTGGCACCGCCAGTTTTTGGTCTGGCTTCTTCCAGTCTCTCAACCTGCCCATCGAAGTGGCTGCTTTCGCCCTGGTCTGCTCCTGTGTTACGCTCCCCACACATCTACAGCGTCAGGGTGAAGTCACCACTCCAGAGGGGATGAATTGGGCTGTCCTGAGGTGGTGGTGGCGCAGCTGCTGATGGGGAGGGGACTCAGGGATTTTCCACCCATGGCCTCTGTTGTGTATGGTCAGTTTTTCCAAACGTTCGGTGATGTTTGCTCGAGCTGAAAACCGATTTCCCTCCTGAGGCAAGGTAAACTTTGTGTCTTATCTGGACACTGGGTTCTAACTGCTTTTCTTATCGCAGTTATGAAAATCTAATTAAGTTTATTACAGTATCAAACATCTACTGATAATGGTAAAGTTAAATATATTCTTATCTAGCTGCAGGCTGCTGAGTAAAACAGGGACAGTCCAACAAAAATTCTTTGCTTGTAAAAATCTGTTGCAAAACTGCAGAGTCATTAGAAACCAATGCCTTAATGGGTGCCAACAAGACCCAGCTTTGAAGTGTGATGTTTTCACAGTCTTGGGGTATTGCTGGACAAGGTCTGTTGGTTCCTACAAAGCCATTTAGAGGTTATTGATGAAGTGGTTGGTGTCTTCCTGTGCAGGTGACGGGCATCCCCATGAATTGCTCCATCAAGCTCCAGCTGAACCTGTACATAAAGCAGGTGTCTGATATACTGTAAGTAGTCACCTTCTAGAAGTGTCCATCTCCCTTCCCTGAGCAGGGAGTGCTGCTGAGCCACTGCAGGGTTTAGTCTCTCCAAAGATGAAGCAGCTTTACCATGACCAATTGTCCTGACTGCCAGAGCCAGCTGGCTCCTGTTGAAATGTCAGCCATTCCAGTGACCACAAGTTGCCATCCTTTATCAGTGCAGGTGTGGCTGCCTGTTTGCTCAGCTCTGACCATATTCCTGCTCCTGACCAGACAGCTCATGAATGGACTGCTTCTCCTGATGAAGCAGGAGCTGTTCACCTGTGCTGTGCTGCTTCTCAGGTGTTACCTCCAACATGGAGAGGCCACCTCCTTACTGTGGTTTCCTGTCAGTCTGTCAGATCCACCCCCCTAGGAAGAATTATGGCACTAATTGTGGCTTGATCAACCATAAATCTAAGCGTGTGTTTCTGTTTTTAATTCTCTTCCCCCTCCCCCAGTCAAACAGGGAAGATTAAGCCGGTGGTCCTGCCGCTGCTGTGGTTTGCAGAGGTGAGCTGCCTTCCTCGACCTGATTCTGCAGAGCCTCTCCTGCTTCCCCATCACCCAGTGTTGGGGAAACTCCACTTTGGATAAAGCTTAAAGCCAGCCAGACTAATTAAGCACCAACAGAAGGCTTTTCAATACTTGGCTATGTCATTAATCCCTCTGAGCTGAACAAAACCTGCACTATACTTGGTAAATCTCTGGCTCTGCCCTAGATGTGGGGTTAAATAGGGCCTTGGACAGAGCTGCCAGCATCCCCGTATTAATGTGGGCCAGGGAGTGCAGCCCCCAGCTGTGTGCATGTCCAGCTGACTCCAGCTATTTAGTAAAAGCTTCTGGCCTGACTGAATCTTGCATAAATTCCCTAATTTATGCCAGGAGGGGTTGGGAGAGGAATTGTTCAGTTGGTCTGCGTCAGCCCTGGACGGGAGGGAAATGCCACTGACAACTCCGCTTTTTTGAGCAGAGCGGATCCATCGAAGGCTCAGTCCTAAACCAGTTTTACACCAACCTGGTGCTGCTCCCGTCGCTGCTGGAATACCTGCAGTATATCTTCCTTGGACTGAGTGTCCCCCTCATTATCTCAGCAGCTGTGCTCATGGTAATGAATAAGGTAAGAATCTGCAGATGTCTGGTAGGAAATGCTGTTAGTCAAATCAGACTTAATCAGATGATGTAGATTGGGCTGACAATCTAATGTTCCTGAGGAAACATTGGCTGATGCCACCGACAATCTCCTAATGGTGCCAGGTGCCAGCAGATAGCAGCAGGACTTCCTCAGCCACCCAGAAAGAAATTGGGCTGCAAATAGATAACGTAAAGCATTTCTGGTTTTCTTGATGCACAGTAGTGATGAAAGTGGCTTCCTGGAGGAGGAGGTATTTCTCAGCTCAGCCAGCTAATGAAGAAACAAGCCTAGTTTATCAACCCAGCCTCTGTAGAAGGCAGCAGCAGGTCTGTGACACTGCACAAATCTGCATCTCTGCAGGGTCCCAACAGTTTTCCATTTAGAGCAGAGGCTTCTCCAGAGGATGGAGCTACTTGAGCACAGCTTGTTCAGAGATGAAATGCAGTTGCTGTGTTCATGCAGAGGGGATGCAGCCACTGTGGCTGCTTGTCAGCCCAGCTCAGATTCTGTCTTCCACTGGAATGCACTTGGTTGCTGTGCAAAGTCCTCCAAATAGCTCTGGAAGTGAAACCCTCAGAGCCTTTGTGGATCTGGGCTTACCGAGAAGTGCAGACCTTTGAAGCCTGCCAGGATCTGGCAGCTGGGCAACAGTTGGCCTGTGATGGGGCAGGCAGTGGGGGTGAGGCTGAGGAGCTGTCAGGACAGAATATAAAAGAGCTAAAACACTCAGTGGAGATCTGTGGCTCCGGCTCCATGACAGTGATCTGATAACACTAAGCTCTCTACAAGCTTTAGCTCTTGAAGTAGAGATCTAGCTCCCTACCCTAACCTGTATCAAAGCAAGCTGGTTTAGTTTTACACTACAGTCAGATGGCTTGGGCTGGCTCTAAAGCTACAGAGGTGAAGAGGCTACTTGTGAGGATAAAGGGCAGTGCTTGGGATAAGAGCGGACTAAGAGGAGGCATGTGTGAGGGGCTTCCTTTGCTCAGCCTCCTGTTACTGCCCTGACTGAAACTCTAATGCAAACCCACCTTAAATAGCCCTAGAGTTCTCTGAGTATCACGTAATTGGATTTTAACCAAGCCTACAATTGCTTAAGTGACTTAAACACATGATCCCAAATCCCCTTGTTCCTCCACCCACTTCCCTGGAGGGTGGGAGCGTTGCTAGGGCCCAGCATGGAGCCCAGTGCTCATCACCAAGCCCTTATTGTGCTCCCAGGATGGTCCTGGGATGAACGGCTCCACTTCAGCGCATGCCAGGCAGACACTCTGCTGCGTTTCAGCGGGTCTGAAAAAGGGCTGGGCAACTGTTTCTAACATCTTATGTAGCCCTGAGCTGGCATTTCCTCACCCTGCTTTTTGCAAGTCTTAATTCCTGGTATCAGAGAGATTTAACTATGCCAGAAAGGATCAGGCAGAGAAGCTGGACTTTAAACTCATTCAAGCCAACTGAATATCTGCTTGTGCAGTGTCACAAATGCAGGCGTTAGCCAGCTGTGTTCCTCTGCTCAGCCAAAAGTGGTGTGAAGTGTTAGAGCTGAACATCACCTGCAGAAAGTGCCTGACTACCTGGAAAGTGATTTAAAAAGCTCCAATGACCTTTTAAATCCCCAAGAAAGCTGTACAACAACACATGAACGTCTCCACCTAATTGAGTAGATAAGAGCTTGTAAACTGGAAGACAGCGATTTGCAGCCAAGGTGTGTTCCTCATTTGATTGAAGTGTTGCTGATCTGGCGCTGATTGCTTAATCGTGCACAGTTCTGCCTCTCGAAGTCACAGGCGATGCCAGAGGGGACACTGAGCAGGGACATTGTCCACACCTTCACGTGTCTGCCAGCGTGAAGGTCTCCCTGAGCCCAGCTCCTCCCTGGAGTGTCCTGTGTGCCTCTGGCTTCTGGAGGGAGCAGTGTGCTCTGAACCCAGTGCAGATGAGGTACTGTGAAACACTTAAATCTTAGTCTAGTTTATAGTAGAGCCAGTTTGAAATGCATCTGTTGGACGCACAGCTCTAAAAGTGCATAAATCTGTACAGGTGTAAAACACACCCAGATGTTCTATCTCTCCTTTGCCGTCGTGGCCTAAAGCCTGTGTGGTGACACATTTAAAAGGCAAACAGACCATTTTAAAACTGGCTTGACACTGACCAAAATCTTAAATAGGACTTAGCTTAATCTAAATTTTGAAATCTTCATTAATAACTAGATTCTAGTTCAACAGTGATCTTCGAATCTCCTCTGAAAATTGGAACCCTCATGAAATTTGTGTCCAAGTGCACCATAAACTAGACTGATTGTCTTCTAGGAAAAATGCTCTTTATTTTGGAGTAGCAATAAAAAGAACTCAGACAGTAATAAGGCCAACCAGGCCATCTCTGCCAAAAAGCTGCCTCCGGTTAAGGGGACGGTGTTGCGGGAAGCCAGACTGTAGGTGGGTACCCAGTCAAGGTAACACGCTTTTCTCTCGTCCTGATTTGATTAAACTTTGCTTAAAACCAATCAAATTAAACGTTTACTGTCCACATCTACCAGACATGCCCTCCTGGCAAGCTTTGATGGAACAATGTTGTCTCATGCCTTTATTCGGGGCAATTTAGATGTCTTAATACTCACACTTAACAACATTGCAAGCACATGCTTTTATTGTTTCTCCTGGTGTACCTGATCTGCGGCCCTAATACCAGCGGGGATCAGGGAGAAAAGTAAGATTGGTGTTTCCACCAATTTTTTTTTTGCCTTTTTCCCTCCACTTCCAAGTGTCTGAGATCCAGAGGTAAGTTTTTGAATGGGGTAAAAACTCATGGGGGTAACAGAGATAGTCAACTGGTGGGTATCACCCTTCCCCTGCATGCAGGGAGCCTCAACAGCGAGGCTTTCAAGAGGGAATTTGTCATGTATAAATATCTGGGTTTGTATTACAGGATCACAAAATCACTGAATCGTTCAGGTTGGAAGGGACCTCTGGAGGTCATCTAGTTCAGCATCTCGACCAAGCAGGGTCACCTAAAGCTGGTTTCTCAGGACCATGTCCAGATGTCTCTTAATATCTTCAGGGATGGAGATTCCCATTGTTACAGTTTCACAGAAAAAGAAAAGGAAAAAAGTATTTCTTACTGTTCACATGGAATACCCTGTGTTTACATGCCACTTGGCTCTTGTCCTGTTCCTGGACATGACCAAGAAGAGCCTGGCTCTGTATTTGCACACCCCCTTCAGATCCTTGTATACAGTGGTAAAATCCCCCTGAGCCTTCTGTCCTTGAGGCTGAACACTTCCAGTTCTCTTGACCTTTGCTCACATAAGAGACAGTCCAGTCTTATAATCACTTTAGTGGTCTTTTGCTGAACTCCTTCCAGTAGCTCCATCTCTCTTAGCCTGGGAATCCCAGAACTGAACCCAGTAGTCCATGTATGTCCTCACCGGTGATGACCAGAGGGGAAGGATCACCTCTATGACCTGCTGGCAACACTCCCAGTGCAGCCCAGGATACAGTTGGCTGCCTCTGCTACACAGGCACACTGCTCGTTCATGTTCAGCTTGGTGTCCCCTGAGACTCTCAGGTCCTTTTCTGCCAAACCACTTCAGAGCTGTACCCTTGTCTTGTACTGGTGCATGGGGTTGTCCTTGCCCAAGTGTTAAACCTCGTGAGGGTCCTTCCAGTCCATTTCTCAGCCTACTGAGATCCCTTTTGGTGTATCAGCCACTCTCCCAGTTTTTGTAGATCATTAATAAAGATGTTACGCAGGACTGGACCCAGTATTGACCCCTGGTGTACACTGATGGTTACTGGCCTTCAACTAGACCTCATGACCCTCTGGGCCTGGCTGTCAGCCACTTTTCAGTCTACCAGTTTTCTGCTCATCCAGCCCATACTTCATCAGCTTCCCTGTAAGGCTTTTATGTGAGACAGTGTCAAAAGCCTAAAGTCCAGGTAGATGATCCCATTGCTCTCCCCTCATCTACCAAGCCAGTCATTTCATCCCAGACATTTATCAAGTTGGTCAAGCACAATTTCCCCTTGGTGAATCCATGTTGACTACTCCTGATGACTTTCTTTGTCCATCATATGCCTGGCTATGGTTCCTAGGATTAGCTGCTCCATCACCTTCACAAGGATTGAAGGGAGGCTGACTGGCCTGTAGCTCCTGAGGTCTTCCTTCTTGATTTTCTTCAAGATAGAAGAGACATTTGCTTTCCTTCAGTCTTAGGGCCCCTTTCCCCATTGCCAGGATAAGGGGGAGTGGCCTTGTTGTGATATTAGCCTGCTATTCCCATCAGGCTCCATGGATTTGTGTATGTCTAGGTTACTGAAGTATTCTCTGACCTCATCCTCTTCCATCAAGGGTGTGTCTTCCTTGCTCCAGACTTTCCTCTGGTTTCTGGGGTCCCCTGCCTCATTCAGGAACAGGCCTGCATGTTCCCTACTCTTTCTTTTGTCACCTGGGTGCTTATAAAAGTCTTCCTTTTTTCTGACATCCTCAGCCAGATTCAATTCCACTTGGGACTTGGCTTTCCTATCTTCATCCCTGCATGCTGGGAGAGTGTCCCTATATTCCTGCCAGGTTACCTGTCCCTGCTTCCACCTTCTGTATGCTTCCATTCTGCCTTTGTGTTTGGTCAGGAGCTCTTACTTCATCCATGTAGGCCTGCTGGTATTTTTTCCTGGCTTTGGATGCTTGTTGGGTTCTTGAACTTGGAGGAAATGATCCTTGAATATTAAGCATCTTTTTTGCCCTGCCTGTATCCCCCCCTGAGGTCTGTAGTCACTTTTAGAATCACAGAATCATAGACTCATTGAGGTTGAAAAGACCTCCAAGATCATCAAGTCCGATCTTCAGTCAAATACCACCACACCCAAATGGTTTCCAGGTGGTACTGGTGGTATCAGTGGTGCCCACCCTGAAGCAGCAGTGGGCAATAGTCAAAGGGTTAGATAAGCCTCACAGTCCATCCACAACACGCCAATCCCCAGTGAGCAGCAACTGTCTCTAGATGATGAGTCAGGTGGGCACGTTGGTGTCTCTGTCCCCACCAGCGGGGAGTGACCCAGTTCTGTCAATTCCTGCTTCCCCCTGGGGTTCTTGTAGGATTTATGGTCAGGGGCCCACGTGATCTGCTTGGAGGTGTTTCTGACTCCTCTTCAGCTATCGGGGTGGTGACCCTGTTCTGTAGGTGTAAGCCTTTGGGCAAGGAGGAGCCTTCCTCTTGCTGTCAGGAAGCACCGGCTTCCACCGTTCACCCTCAGCAGAGGCTGCACCCACCACGATACTGAGAACGAGTGCTGTCTGTGTGTACTGCAGGTGGTGTCTGGGGATCTTCAAGCCATTCTGTCCCTGAGAAGATCTCTCCATCCTCCTCCCACAACACGCTGTCCCATAGCTGCTCCACACAGCTCTTCAGGCTGGGTGCTTGGTGGGGGTTGTTAGAGATGCTGGTGGGCAGGAATGGAAATGACTTCATTTTGTTGGGGGAGGAGGTTTAAGAAAGTTTAAGAAGCCTTCAGGAAAGGGGCGTTGGCCCCCGGGAAGATTCCAGAGGTTTGGGGTGGGCGTGGCCCACGTGGGGGTGCGGTGGCACGCCCTGCCAGGTGTGACTGTGGTGCCACCACCGCGTGCGCACCGTGACCTCTGTACCTCCCCTGCAGGGACCCGCCGCCGAGAAGAGCCCACGTCCCCCCGCCACGCAGACCAAACTACCCCCCTCCTCCGAGACCACGCCGCTCCTACACGACGCTGACACGCTGAGCCAGGATGACGCCGAATCCTGAGCCACCACCCTCCCGGCACGCTTCCCACCGGGACGCGCCCGTGCCGGAGGCGAGGCCTGCTTCGGGTCCCCAGAGGTCTCTGGAAGGTGAAGTCGTCCTGGACAGCTCAGTGGAGACCCTGCACAACCACAGCAAAACCACAGGACAGTATTGCTGCACAGCACTCCCGCGCCAGGAACGGGAGACCTCATCCAGACTCTCAACGCAGTGTCCAAGAACCCTTGACCCCAAGGACCGGCCTTTGCCACAGCCCCTCTCTCTGGTGGGCCAGCAGGAGCGAAGGTGGTTGCTGACTGATCTGAGAGGTTATTTGCAATTTAAAACTGCCTATTGCTGGAGATAAAAGGCACTTTAATGGGAGCCTTTAAAACAAATGAGGTTTGTGTAGGTAGCAGGGATGGGATTTAGTGATCTTTTTAAAAGCCACCGTTCATCTCACCGAATGGGGCAGTTGTGCTGGAGCCACTTATGGTTTTATTACCACTTGATGTAACTGGACTGCACTGCAAATCAATTCTGGGTGCTGTCACCTCAGTGATGTCTCTTCCCAGGGTCCCTGGAGCCTGTCCAGGGTTACTCCAGCCTTTGCATGTTTTGGAAAGTACAGTGGTGACTTTTAAAGCCCCAGTTCTGTGCCATGACCTTGCGCTCCAGTCATTCCAGCTCACAGCCCTGTTACTTTGCCTCTCCTTGCTGTAAGTGACTGTGTGAGATGAGCCTTGGCAACAACTCTGTGGTACATCTGAGCTGTCACTCAGCTCCTGGCAGTTGTCCCTGCTGCCTGCTCAGCCATCCAGGGTCAGCTTCTCTGGCTGTGGCTGTCAGTGCTGGGAAGCTGTTGGTCTCTCTGGCCTGACCATGGGAAGGGGGAAGCTTAACCCTGTCTTTGAATGTTAATGAAGATATTTGTGCTTCTGAGAGCAAGGAATATGTGCAATCATGAAAGTAACAATGGCCTTAGTACAGTTTGATTAAACTATTGCAGATTTCTGAAATGGCGTCTTGGGGGACCTGGGCCTGCATGTCACCTGGGGGTGGGAGGGCTGAGATCACACTTCAGTGGAAAAGAATCCCCAAGCACAGAGATATTTTTATCTAACTACCAGTCAGTAGTTGTCTTCTTCACTTCTAACCAGGAGCCACGGTAGCCCTTGGGAAAACTAAAGGGGCCAATGTTGAAATGTCTGGCAAGGACAAAACAGAGGACCAGAGGAATTGTTGCACTGTGTGTGGCATGAATACTGTTGGGGTCTGGAAAGTGTTGTCAAGGACAACCCTGTAACCTTCTAGTGGGGTAAGCGATAATTCTCCCTTAGACCTCCATCCATCTTATGGGGCAGGAAGAGCACAGGAGCTAAAACCAACATCACCGTTCCTGTGCCAGTGCATTCCTTACTGGCCATGTTCCCAGTCCTGCAGTGGGCTGCCTTACTATGGAAACAGCTGTGATACAGCCTGGGTCATGACAGGGAAGGGTGGCAGCTCCCCAGAACTTGGTCCGTGGGCTGAACTCACCTCGATACTTGAAGTGTGTCTCACAGGTACGACAGGACTAGCCAAGTCCCTTCTTGTGGCCACTGCTGCCAGGTTGTCTCTGTGGCACGAGTCCTCACTGAGGGTGATGCTTAAACTACAGCTGTAAAACTCTCTCTGGCCTTAAATCCAAACTTACCCAGCTGCAAACAGCAGCTCACAGCTACAGCCTTGGCCAGCGGCGACAGAGACAGGAGTGGGGCAGAGGCTCTCTGGGACACCAGACCCATCAGCTCACACCTATGAGACCCAAATCTGAGGGCAGAGCAGCGATAACCACCCCGTGGGCTCCCCTTGCGAGAGAGGCTTTAATGACATACCGGTGCTAATTGCTGTTGGACGAGCAAACACGAATAAAAAGACGGGAATACCGCTCCTACAACAAGCTTCGCTGGTGTGTTTGGTCGGTGGGTCTCTGTGGCTGTGCGGCATGCGAGCCCTTCGCAGGAGCTCGTACTTTCCCCACGGCCCGTGGGGCGCGCCCGTGGGGGCTCGGCGGGGCCGGGCGCTGCAGCGCTGCGGCGCGGCCGCCCGAGGGCGCTGTGGGGCCGCGGTCGCTCCGCGGGCCCGGGGTGGTCCCGGGTGGGGGCGGCGGGACCCGGGAACGGCGAGGGATGTGGGACACGATCAGGGATCCCCGGCCATGGTCTCCCAGCCCCGAGTGCTCGGCGGGGTCGTGCTGCGATGTGTCTCTCCATCAGCTCGCAGCGCTCCCCCCTGTTTCCCCCGCCCTGCACTTCGTTCACCTTGCTGGCTGCTCGTTTCCAGTTCGTTTTGAGATGCTTCTCACAACGCCGAGTCCCTTCCTGGCCCTGACTCACTCTCCCTTGCCAACTCCCTTTGTACACTGTGTTCGGGACTGTCACAGGCCAAACATCCCTGGTGCAACACCCTCCCTCCCCTGTGCTAAGCCGGGTTGAAGTCATTTACCTTCTCCTGAGAATTTTAATTGGCCTCCACAGGCTCAGTAATCATCACAACAATCTTGTTTTACTGTGCAGAGTCTTGGGAGCCTCAATTCACCCACCCTGGAACAGCCACGGGAGTCGAATGGGTCACCTCCATCCACGAGGTGCTTCATCATCAAGGGGGAACTGTCAGGGCTTGGTGTCTTCTTTCCCCCTGCTGTGTGATGGAGCCTTCACCAGCTCCTCTGTAAGACAGACCAGGAATAACACAACGCTCCCCATTTACACTGGGGGTAGAGTGCTTTTATGAACACAGATCAGGAGCTTTTCCCATTTCTTATCTCTATCCCACCTTCCCTGAAGCATCCCCAGCTTAGCTACCCTCTGTGGAGAGGGTTCAGACCCTCCTACAGCAGGAGCAGCCTCTGTGTTATTCTCTTCACCTGTGTCCCATTGCTCCCAGGTGCCCATCATTAGTTAGGCTGGGTTAAAATCCCAGCAGGGAGAAGAGGCTCTGGTTTGAGACTCAGCAAGTCTTTGCTCTGCTGTGTAGCTGCTCTGCTCTTCCTGAGCACATCCAGGTCTGCTCCTGAGCTGTGGCTTCGGTCTCCCCGGTGTACAGGACTCTGACAGCAGTGACCAAACCCTTCAGTGACGCTGGCAGGTATGTGAGGTTGCTGCTGGGGTGGGTCTTCATGGGCAGGTGGGTCTCCTGGGGCAGAGCTGCAACTTTCATTGCTTGAAAAAAACCCAATAAAACCAACAAGAAGCAGACAAGCAGAGCAATGTGTAGCTGATGCTATTGCAGTTATAGAGGTGATTTTGTGGTGTTTGATGGGAAATGCGTTTCTCTATGGCAGCTATAGGGTACTGAGCTTTATGTGCATGCAGATGTCTGCAGTGTGGGACTGCAGGACCCAATACCCAGGCAAGATGTGCCCGGAGGAGACAAAGCGCCTTGCAGCACCTGATTTCTCTTGCACTTGGCTGCAATGAACCTCTCTGTCTGGGAGGAAATATCTGGAGGGAGGACAAGCAGCTCATGTGGTTTTGGAGGAGAGCCTGGATGGCCTGTCCGTGCCTGGGCACTGCAGGGTTTGCCTGTGTGGGTTGGGTTTAATCCTCTCTTGTGCAGGGGACTCTGCTGTTGCGGTGCAGGACTCAGGTCTTGGATTGGGTGCACGTAGCTTAAATCATCGACCCTCCTGTGCGTGAGCTGGGAGTTCAGCCTGTGCCCTGTGCTGTGTGTGGGGACCTGCACTGGTTTAATCCCCCTCTCAGTCTGACACTGAGCTGACGGTGTTTTTGTGCTCGGCACCGCAGTGCTGGCACGAGCGGTGCCCGGCAGGCCTGGCCCTGAGCTGCCCTGTGTGCTTGGCCAGCCCCGCTCTGCGCAGCCATCTGCCGCCCTGGCTGCTGCCCAGCCCGCCAGAGGGGTGCCCCACGCCCCAGGGATCACTGCCCACGTCCTTTCCCTCGCAGCACAGCCCGAGGGGCAGCGCTGGGTGACTCTGGCATTGCCCCCAGCGTGAGCCGTGCCATGGGTACAACCTCCACACGTGCAGCTGAGACCCATGACGGGCGTGTTACTGTGGCAGAAAGCAAATATGGGCTGCCTGGGCTTTGGCAGCGAAGCCTCTGCTCCCAAGTGTGCGTTGGATGGTGGTGTTAAACTTTATGGTGTTTTTAATGCCTCATTGGAAGAGTGTGACTAAACGTCCTTCCACCTCCTGCTCATGAGGACACAGGAGTTTAATTTTATCGCCTCACTAGTCACCAGAGTCAGGGCCAGACCATTTCTGGGAATAAGCCTTGTGTACATGAGCTCCTCTGCCCAGGGCTGTCAGAAATTCTCCTGCCCTTCGAAAAGGGAAGGGAAAAGAAATGTACCCCTTGCTTTGAGCAGTTCCTTTTACTGAGGTGCTGATGTGTCTTGGCAGTGAGAGCCCATCGCACAGAGTATCCCTTTGGGATGCTCCATCCTTGCTACTGTGGTTATGGGGTGACTTCTCAAGTCACCTTATTGCTTTCTCACAGCAGTTCACATGCCAAATCTTGGCTCTGTTGGGGTAAACCGGACCATGGCCCTGTACTGAGTCCCTGTTTCCCTTTCCCATTGCCATGTGCATCCAGGTGGGGTGATGCCCGCTGGGGAGTTCCCGCTGCAATCCCAGTCCGTGGGGCTCAGAGTGGTGACATGAAGCCGACCTGGAGCCAGTGTTCCCTGTGCTTGGTGGCTCCCTGGGAGCACTAGTTTTCTGGAGCAGGAAGAACAATTCCTAAAAAGGAGCAGTCAGATGGAAAATTGATACCAAATGGTGCTATCAGTCCCTTGAGGAACAAGGTTTGATCTCTCAACCCATGGTTCCTGGGGATTAGGACATAGGCACAC